GTATGTCTTCATGCCATTACCACACTATTTGATTACTGTGGCTTTGTAGTATGGGTTTCCTTTTTATTTTTGAAATGCACCACACACTCCTTCTGGCTCATGTTCAGTTCTTTAACCCCATTCAAGTGTTGCCTGGAGACTGGTACTTTCTTTTTTTTTTTTTTTTTAATTTTTTTTTATGTTTTATTTATTTCTAGGAGAGAGAGAGAGAGACAGCATGAGCAGGGGAGGGTCAGAGAGAGAGGGAGTCACAGACTGAAACAGGCTCCAGGCTCTGAGCTGGCAGTCAGCACAGAGCCCGACGCGGGGCTCGAACCCACGAACCGCGAGATCATGACCTAAGCGAAAGTCGGACGCTTAACCGACTAAGCCACCCAGGCACCCCTGGAGACTGGTACTTTCTGTAGTTTCCAGATTTAGCCAGATCCAGGGATAATTGTGCAATCAGGTGCAGGAAACGGAGCAACAGGTGAGTCATTCAACATGGTATTTGGGTTTTTTGGAAAAGAAAAGGCACAGTCGCTAGAATAAAACTGTATGCCTTTATTCAATTTAAATGAGTCATTAAGATAAAATACAATTTGCCCATGTGCAGAAACATTATACATTCAATTCTGAAGAAGGTAGTTTTATACAACCAATAAAAGGAACAGTTTAAAAGTGAAAGGGCTAAAGACGATAGTGAGAGGGAGCTAAAAGGCAGAGTTTTATCTGTCAAAGTGCTAAGGCCTATGTGCACAAAGTTTTAAAGTGAACAAGACCAACAGAAGGTCATTTCTTCCACTCGAATTTCTCTTGGTGCTGGTGAAAAGTCTTCAGGTGTGATGCAATCACAGAACTAAGATGGGTTTTTTAAAAAGTAGGTCATAGCACTTACGGCTAAAAGTTTTTAATTTCTAGAGTTTCACTTGCCATGTACTCAAGATCTTGTGTGGATTCTATAAATTTTGTGATTTCAAGAAGAACTTGCCCTTAAATCAGTAGTTTATTATCAAAGAACAAGTTGTCAGGTCCTTACCAGCCCAGAATCTATCTCCTTACACAACAAAGAGGAAACCAAATATGAGAGTCTGGAAAGTCTTAGTTAATTTAAAGTTTATGTTAAGTGATTACATATAGGTTCAGCTGGGATCACGAGTCTTCAAATCGCCATTGGCTGAAAGCCTAAAACGAGAATGGCTTGCTTAGGGTCAAAGTCCAACTTCACCATGTCCAAGCTCTAGGTATCTGAAAACATCGGACGTTGGCTTTTGTAAAGAACTGACCCAAGAAAGTAAAAAATTTTTTGTACCAACTTCCCATAGAAAGAAAATAGGCTGTGTGTAAAAGAGTTCTAAAGTATCTTCAAATATTTTTATATCATTTAATGCATTGCTTTCTAATTGGACTAATCTGAATTTTAAATATTTAAAAAGAGGATCCATGATTAAAGTTAGTAAAATTCAATGTTGACTCAAGTTGGCCTGACAGTGTTTACGAGCAACATCTGTGTCATCTAACAGACAGGTGTACAGCCCTAAATCCTGATCAGTGGCAAAAGGTGCCACTAGATGATTCAATAGAAAACTATTACTTCGCCTACAAAATGTCTCAAATCAAATTCCATGTTCCGATCATGGCAATTTAACATGATGTGAAGGCAAAACCTTAAAAAAATCATTTTGTAAAACAGTGAGTAATAACTCCAAGTTTACTTAAACCTATTTTACATCCAATCTTGGGTTTATTGCTTTTCTCCCCTACACATTCTCTGGGTTTTGCAGTCGTGATGGAAATCAGTTGGTTTTTTATTTCCCTTTAGCCTCTTTTGAGTTTGGAGAACCAGGGACATTGAGTTGGAAGTTATTCTTCAGGAGAGTCCACTAGGTGGCCACAGCCCATCTGCACAGCTAATGGTCTCTGGCTCTCCATTCCAGGCCCAGTCTCTCCTTCCAGTTATAAGGAAGTCTTTCTAAGGGTGCCCTTGACAGGTTAAGACTGAAAGCTCCATGGAGATATAGAGATTCCTTAGTTTTTACAGTCTCTATAAAAGAAACCAAATCTTTTGTTTAAGGTCACCAAATATTAGGAAAATATAGGATACCTGCCCTCCTGCTTCCTGAACAAAGTTGAGACATTTCACAGTGGAATACACCAAATACCTCTTTTACTGAAAGATGAATATGGATATTTTGGCATACAGAATTTGAGTTGCAAATCCAACAATTCAGGTTAAAGAGAAATAAATGGTAAGGAAATTTCAAGAATAAGCACTAACAAAATAAAATGATTTATCCTTTAAAAGCTTTTTTTTTTCTTTTTCTTTTTACCAGAGTGTCTCAAACTAAGAATTGGGAATTGGGGCCACTAAAAATTTTAGGGCCAGTGTTCTGCTGAAGTGTTTTATAATTCTAGTTCTGTGACTTAGAGATTGGGGGGGAGGGGATGCAATTCTACAATATTAGAATAAAAAACTTTAGAACAGTAATTTTATCCACTATGGAGAAAAAGCAGGGATGCAACATCTTTTTAACAATATAAAAGAAAGGGATACGTTTCCTTCTTACCAGACTACAAGATGAAAATCAAGGTTTAGTTTGAACTCCCTTTAGCTTCATGTTTTAACATCAGTGACAGGAAGGCCGCATTATTTACGTAATTGTTATTAGAAAGGGTTAGTTGAGAATAACATCTCTCCTGACACACCAACCAGAATTAATTGAAAGGGATTCTCTCTTCAACCGAGAGATTACTGTTTTCTTGAAGTTTCTACTGAGAATTCTAGATCTTCCAATGATTATTTTCAGAAAAGGTAAATTTCATTAACATGGCTCTTCACTCCCACACTATTATTCCACCTGGGGGCAATGCCTTTCTTTTCTTCCTTCATGTTTTGCCACTGCATTTCACTCAGTGCCTCAAACACTTCACTTCCGTAATTCATTTGCACTTAAATTTCCATTATGTCTTGGGAAATATGTAGCACATATTTACTCCTTGAGCCCTCAACTAGACACACACTGTATGGCTACTACTACTTTAGGGAAGACATTTTACAATTTACATGGCTGCTTTTGTTTACCCTTACATAACCTGAACTTTAGTACAGTACTTAGCACATAGTAGGTGCTCCAAGAAATATGTGAATGAATAACATGATTTGTACACAAAAACAGCTAGAAACATTATGCGTAATCTTATTTCTTAAGACCACTTACGGTCAAGTAGTGTCAAAAGCAATGAACACAGGTTTCTAAGGCTGTGATGTAAATAAAGGACAGTTGGGGATTCAAGTTGAAGTTGTGTTCTGGTATATTGCTCTTTCTCATTCAACTGCAGATCAACTATACATTCAGGCTCCTATGTCATTACCTGAATATGAATTTTACTTTCAGTGAGGTAGAAGTCCCATTTAAATAATTACAACTATTTACTGGAAAGGGGGGGGGGTAAAAGGCCATAATGGGCTGGTCCGCACACATTTAATGTTTCACCTTCACTCCTATTTATTATATGGGAATTATGAGGATGCAGATATTCCCTGAGACTTCAGAAATTTCCTTTAGAAAAAGCACATTTTCAGCAAAGATTTAGAGTGCTGTTCTCCTGGATGGGTAAACGATCTTCAATGTCACTGGGCAACTCTGTTGTTTGAAAAATAAGGCTGTCTTTGAAAAATCATTCTACATATCCTTAATGTCCAAAATGTGCTACTTTTATCACTGAAAATAATCAAAGCCTCACCATTATGGGGAGAACTAGGGAACGACAATAAAAAAGTCAGTTTCATGGGTCACTAAGATACATTCTTGAAGTTCTGACCTTATTTATTTCATCAATAAATCTATAGATTATTCATTAAAAATTTTTTTAATGTTTTATTTCTGAGAGAGAGAGAGAGAGAGACAGCAAGAACAGGGAGGGTCAGAGAGAGAGATACAGAATCTGAAACAGTCTCCAGGCTCTGAGCTAGCTGTCAGCACATAGCCCGACATGGGGCTCGAACCCACGAACTCTGAGATCATGACCTGAGCCGAAGTCAGACGCTTAACCGACTGAGACACCCAGGCGCCCCTAGATTATTCATTTTTAAAGAATGGGCTAGATACCTTTATTTCCAAAGATTATCTAGGTATCATTTTGCTCCTTCAGTCATATCCTAAAACCAAGTATTTGCAATCACAAAATTCTCTGGGACAGCAGGATTACAGACTGGCTGTAGGTATGGGGCTATGGCAGTTAAGATCTCCTAATATCTGGCTCTTTCCTCATTTGCATAATTGTCCTTTCTGGCACTAAGCAGTTCAAAATCCATGTTCTCCTAGCTCTTCTAGCTCTCAAGATCAATCAGCAAGGACATAAAACTGGTTAGGAAACTCCCTCTCCAGATAAATCACGAAGGGTACAGAGCTGGTTAGGGAATTCAAAAAGCTGTCAATTAGCTTCCCGTGATTATTTCCTAACGTAGTCCTACCGCTTGTAAGGTGATGGCAGCAAATGTTTGCTAATGAATTATTAACCACTGTTGAGAAAGAAAAACCTATTTTCCCCCTGAGATATTTTCTTACCATTGTTACAGAAGCAAACAATGAGCCCATTAAAAACAACAAAAAAGAGAGATTGCACCATGTTTTTGTGTTTGTCTGTTTTTAACGTTCCCGGGAACACCAGGTGGTTAAGAGACAGAACAGTTCAAGGGTGAAAACAGAGACAGACAGATAAGGTGAATTTAATATTTTTACTAGAGTTCTGAAAGGAATATGCTATCCTGATATGTTTATCACCAAATTCCTTATTTTACTCCTCTATACAATAATCTGTGGTAATTTTCCAATGATAATATAAGGCAACAGCTGAGGGCCCTTACCCACACCGCTCTCAGATGGATGTCACACCTCAAGATTCACCAAAAACTCCAAGGTTTTTATTTCCACTTTAATTATCTTTTACTTAATAATAAAATGAAAAATAAGAATATATGAATACATACAATCTATATACATATATTTATTGCAAATACTTAAAATTCTTATGTAAAATGATTTTTTTATATTTGTGAAAAAATATGACTTTTTAAATGGTGTTGACACCAACTTCTCTGTACATACCCTCAATTCCAATGTTAACAATTCCTTTAAAAAGGCAAAAGACACAAAAGTTTAGCATTTACCAAACCAGTCTGTACAAACCTTATAAGCCAGAAGGAAAAAAAATAGCTTGTGGTAAATAAGTTGATTTTCTTTTAAAATAAAAAATAAACTTCAAAACTATTCCCCTTATTGCATTTCTCGGAAATAATCTGAGTGTCTTTAGAGTAACTTCCTTTGTAATAATTTGTGCCTTAACAGTGAGGTCCTACATTAAACATACCACATATGAGAAATTCAAAGTCTTCCACTGTCACTTTTTACATAGATATTAAAATATATATTACTTAAAATATATTACTGGAAAGCTATTTTTAAAATTGATCTTTAATAGTTGTATCAAATGTAAAGCATTAAAAAAAATAAAGTAACCAAGAATCTATGAAGCTCTTACTTCAACTTTAGGAAATGTTTTACCTATTGTTCCCTTTCAATAGGTATGTAGGTATTGAAACATGGTAGGAAAGATCCCTGCCTATCATCATGTTTCTCAGAGTCTCTTTGGACTATTCTACAAATTCAGCTGAAAGCTACCACTGGCCAAGTTTTTTACTTAGCACGCTGTTTAATGCAACAGGGACTTTTCCCTCCTTGCTGTGAAAGTGAAACCTCTAGGTCACAGAGAAAACCCTGGCACTGCTCACGGACAGTGAGTTCTAGAAATAAATAGTGGTGTAGTGACCAGAGAAGACCCCCTTGTTATAACAAATCATTTCACCTAAGAGTTCTTTAAGGGCTCTAAGGTAGAGAAAGGCAATTAATAAGTAATTAGGATGGTAACTGTCAAGTCATTAATACGTATGAATTTACACCTTCACCCAGAAGGCAATGAGGTCTTCCTTTGGCTATTTATTTAAATCTGAGAATTCCTGAAACACACACATCCGGTGCCTTCCCAGTCCATGCAAGTATGCTTCCCCTACCCCAAGAAAAATGTCCCATTTGCCAGATCTTAGAAATGTTACATGGGATACTACATATAGTTTCAGTATCTTGAGCATAGGGGTTAAGGAATTGTAGGGCAAACAACTCCAGGTTATTTGGCTTTATCTTCTGTTTAATAGGATGGAGAATTTTCATGGGAATTTTTTTTTAAGATTCAGGGAGTCTTGTCTATGAGATAACTTAGAACATTCATTAAGTAAGACTGAGATGATTGTTAATACTCTCTCCCCAAGGTGACCTATAAAGGAAGGTATCTGAAGGCTCGAGAAGCATACCCTTGAGGCATAAGCATCAGGCACAATACCCGACTAGTCACTGGAAATAGTGCAACTGCATACCATAACAATAAGCTTAGCATTTCTCCGCAACCTCTCAGATTGAATGGAAATTACGGTAAAGCAACTCTGAAAACCTAAGATAAAAACTGCTTTAAAGGTACTAGAGTCCCATGCTCCTAACAATACAAAGACTTTTCTTCCTCCTACTGCTTCATTTTCAAAAGAGCCAGATAGGAATATGTCTGGATTGTTGTTGTTTTTCTGTTCAGCTCTTAAAATGACTTTCTACCTGAAACCACTGTTTTGAAACAAACTGACAAATCGGTTGTATTTAATCTACTACCAACCTGAGGCAATCTATTCTCTCATTTTGTCAAGATTGAGGCAGTGTACCTAGTTGACAAATTCTGTTTTAGAGACATCTGTAAATGCAAATGCATTATTAACTGAGTATTACTAGTTAAGAGAATCTGGGGGATAATAATGCTTGGGGCCGATCTGCAAGAGCCTGGACAAGATGAAGAGGCACGATATGGTCTGCTCTCCAAATGGACTTGAAAATCCCTGATACCTTTCCTCCTTTCCTGGTTAGTTTGTCCAACCTCAGATTAGGGGAACCATGGAGGAGAGACTTTCTATGACAGCAAAGGTGCAAAGAAGAAAACTCACTTTGATCAATCCAAATTGGTAATTAACATTTAGCACGGGGTCCGTGCTGAAACATTCAGGCACTTCCAGCACACAGACCAGCCCTCAGTCCTGGTGTGAAGAAGCTAAGCATGGAGAGTCAGCAGCCAGCATTGGGTGCTTTTAACCCCTCCCTTGGGCTGTCCAGGGTACTGAAAGTTTGGGGAACAGAACCATGGTTTCTGTTTCCTACTGGATCTTGGCTGGAGAACTTAATCCTTACCCCTGGATCCTTGCAGCCTTCATATTTTTAAGCTATGAAGAAAAAGGGAAGTTAGGAGGATATCCTATTGTTTCGGATGAAACTAGAACACAGAAATTAATCCTATATTTGCTTTGGGCCGCAAAAAGTAAAAACTGAAAAATAGTGTAGTAGTAGGTTTCTTATGGGGTTCAAAAGTGTTACAAGCATGTACGTTGTGGGGCAGGGAGGGGAATGGGTAACAGAATGGGGAAGAGCAAAGAGTATTACTGTCTACTTTCTCCTAATCTGGAATGTGACTTAATAAGTTTACACTGTTCTGCATATGGTAAGTATCACATCCTGAATACTAAGTACAGCCACAAGTGTACTAGGTTGCAGCAATATTTTACTTTACATACTTGAAATTAGGAAACTTAAAATCAATATGCAAATGATGCACATTGGCAATACCCAATTCTTCAAAACCAAATTTTGGTAAACTGTAGATTTATTTTAATGTTCTTTAACCATGTCCTAAATATATGTACTCAAAAACTCTTCAGTCACTGGAGACAATATTTAAAAAAAATAATAGAAAAGGAAAAAAAATAAAACAAATAACAAAACTTTGAAGCTTATTTCTCCTTTCTAGATATTCCTTAGCCATTTACTGAAGCCCCTTTATGTTAGAAATTTCTAGTGCATAGATAGCAGTAATCCGAAACAGAGGACATGTTTCCTAAAACAGGAAGTGTCTAACTTTCACCGTATGTGTACATACTGTGTTCAGAGTAATATAAAATAAGTTTCCTCCATACTCCTCAAGTGCCTGGGAGGTCCAAACAGGCTTAACAGAATGGGCAGACGTGACAGCCAAGAGCTTTTCTTCCTGCAGCAACAGCAGACTACAGAACATCAGGGAACGGGATGGGCAAGAAGAAGAAAAGAAAGGCTACCTTGCTTCTAGTGTTAAAACCATTTTCCAAAGTTCTATATGTTCAGTCTAACAACTTCTGCACTTTTACTCCCTTACCCAACAAAACACATAGTTGAAATCACCCCATCATTGACATTTTTGTTACTTTTGTCCCAGTATTTCCCACCTGTTTGTAAGCTCCCACAACTGACAAAGTACTTGGATGTTATTGCCATAATTGCTGCCCTGCACCGGTGACAGTAACAATAGCAGGGGCCCAGAGAAGCATCCCTCTGTGGGCCACATTCAGGGTCTCAGGGCAGGGTATTAGGACTTGAGGGCAGGGGTCCACAAACCGCAAGCAGAGAGCCTGGCAACAGCACGGGTTTGTGGAAGCCAAGAACCAGGTCAAAGCTTTTGGAGTCTGAAATACTACCTGTGAAATTAATTCCTTATCAAAAATTTGTACTTAAGAAGGTTCTGCCTAAGGTAAAGGGACTGAGCAAACCGTGACTCCAGATCCTGCAAAGGTTTGAATTATCTATGTAAAGCCTGCAGTCAGACTGTTATGACATAATCAGCTTGAACGGTCATTTCTCCAGACCATTCCTTCAACTCCTTTCTTTTCCTGGACACTTAGGAAAGGACAGAAGAGAGAAAGCTTCCTGTAACCATGCATGGCATTAAAGTTTTCTCAGAGTCATGTGAAGCGGAACATAAATCTGGATTTAAAGTAACACATTATTACCTAAACACTTGGAAAAACAATGTTAAAACAAAATGTGACATATTTACATGATTTTGTAAGTGCAAACTTGTCACAAATTCACAAAGTCTTGCTTGACCTAGACTTACTATACAAGGTGCTCTTCCTCTAAAATGTAAAATCTGCACTCTGTATTCCTGATTTAAGTAACATTTGTCTCTTAAGACAACTGAAACCTACTTAATTTATTTCTGTGATTCCAAAAGGACGCAAAAAACACATCTCGTCAACCCTTCCCTTCCTGCCTCCTTTACAGCGTGTTCTTTCTAGTCTCATTACCGAACGACAAGGCAGGAGACACAAAGTTTAGAGGGGCCAATGCAATCATCGTGGCAGAACGCTCCACATCCCTTGCACATGATCATGGCTTTTAATCGGCAGTAACATTTCGAAGGTGTGTCCTCTATGCTGTTCTCTTCAGGAAAGGCCTGAACAGGAATGGTCTGGCCATGGCTGCTGGGATTCATAGCTTGGCTAGCAGGGATAGTAGTGACAGTCACTGAAAAGGACATGACATCACCTACGTTGCTAGACACCTGGCTACAGTCAGGCATCCCCGGTACAGCAGAGTTAGGGTCCATGTCAGACGAGGTGGAGACATTGATCATGCCTCTGTAGCTTGGCCCAATCTGTGTGGGGCTTCCATACAGCTTTGGGGTTTGCAGTGGTGGGAGGAGGAGAGGCTGATGGGTGGGACTGTCTGCAGTTAGGGGGAGAGCAGCAGAACTGAAAAGCTCAGGGCTGCTGCACATCGTCTTCCCTCTCACTGCATGAGCCATTTGTTTCTGTGCTGCCTGAATAAAATCTCTGGCTAGGGTTTTTTCATCAAACGTTTGGCCTCTAGGGAACAGGTAATTCTCCTTGCTTAATGTGGTTTGCTCATGCACTGGTGTCTCTGCCTTCACGTTCTTTTTTGCTAAACAATCATTGGTAGAAGGGGTCTCTCTAGTGTGGGGTCCTGAACTTGCTTCACACTTGCCAGAACCTTGGGGAGCCTGGGGCTCCTCCTTCACCACGATGGGTTCTTGCTCATCACCAGTACTTTCCTCATCAGTATCTTCTTCTTTGCCGCTGCTACTATCTCCTGCTGCATTTTTACCGTCTGTATATCCCACTTTCAAGGCCTCAGTGGGGCTACTTAGACAAAAACGGTCTTCAGGGTTTACAGAATGGGTCCTCCTAAAGCTCTCTGAACCTCGGCCATAGGTGGAAATGTTAAGTAAGTAGTGACCTGCCATCGCAGGCTTTGATGTCCTTCTGCCAGCAAAACCCAACATGAACCTCTGGCTTGTGGAGATATCTTCTATCTGGAAACCTGAGTGAGTGAAGCTGAACTGCGAGGGCTGCACGAACGGAAGAACATTCTGCCTCCGAACCCTCTGGATGAGAGTCTGAAGAATCTGATCCTGGGTGGCTTTACTTAGTCCTTCCTGGTACTGGTGTGTGTCAATGTTAGAGTCCCTCAGATCCTTCCCTGACAAGAGCTGAAGGGATCTTGGAATCTGGGGGAGCTGCTTACTTTGCAAGGATTTACCCAGCGGCTGCAGAGCCGGGCGAGACTGTCTCTCACTAGCTTCCTCTCTGCTGTTCTCTGTCGCGTTGGTGCCTGTGAGGGCTCCTCCCCCTGGCTCCTCTCTTGTGGTCAGTGGAACAGTTTTCATTTCAACTTTGGTGAGAGGTTTAGGCAGAATTTGCTCCATGGGAACATCTTTGCCCTGAAGCAGCTGAGTGACCAAAGGATTATTCGCAGGGATACTAGAGCTTGGCCTTGAAATGGGTCCATTCATATTTGAAGAAATTCCTGGGGTTTTAAGGCTAGAAGCTACTGGCAAAGTGCTCGAGGATGGAGCTGATCCAGCAGGTGCTACAGTCACACTGACCTGGGGCACAGGGAGCTTTTCTAAAGCGGCTGTTGTTAATAAAGATGTTAAAGGAGAGGGAGTCATCTCCACTGATGTACTAGCAGTTGGCTCCGCTGAGGCTGAAGGGTCTGGTGTATTCTTACTAGAACCTGCTCTGGGCTCAACTGTACCATCAGCTGCAAAACGAACAGGTGAGGCACCAGAGAGGAGAGCAGAATCCATCGGAGTAGAAGCCGCTTTCTCCTGTCTGCAATTACTGGGCCCTTGTGGGTGGGTAAGAGAGGCCACTGTGGCTGCTGCCCTGATGGGATGCAGCTTTTCACTGCTCAGTCTCCCTACGGCTGGTGGGAGTGCGCCGGTGCGGGCTGGTGATGGGACACTTGTGCGTGCCCCACTGCCGGCAGGGGGTGGAGGCACTGAGGGGGCTTGCTGTAGTTGTGCTCCAGAGACACCAGGAGGCTGAGCCTGGTCTGAGGTCTTGGGCTCGGGCTGGAGCTGAGTCCCTGGACCACAGGGTAGAAGCTCTCTCGTACCTCCCCTGCTTCCAGTTCCTGCCAATTCCAGTGCGGGGCCCTTTCCGGGTTCACAGGCTCTGTCTGGACTCCCTCCTCTAGCAGGTTTCCTTTCACCACTCTCTCCTGGACCTTGTCCACCCCCCGGGCCAGGTCCTGGAATGGTCCCTCCAACTGAGGCGGCGGCGGCGGCGGCGGCGGCGGCAGCAGCAGCTGCCCTCTGTGCTTTGACCAGCTGGGCTTTTGCTTTGATGTCTGCAAGAGTTCTGGCTCCTGTCCTGTTAGGACTAGCGATGGAGACTGGAAAACGAGCCCTGGGAGAGACCTGCGATGTAGGAAAAGGCATGGGGGAGATTCTGGAGACAGGGATCTGAAAGAAGGAGGGAGAAAAAAAAAACAAAAACACCAGAGCTTAGTTTTCACTTACAGGAGTAACAGAACTTTATCAACACTTGAATTTTCCCAATAGGGTAAACACTGCACACCAGTGACGACGGTGGGAGGTCCGTGGCCGAGAGACCTGACTGTGGAGACAGCAACACGAATTTGTCTCCAGGGTCCCTCCACCTCCTCTACTGGTGCCAAAGTCTCTCCTCCCCCGACATCCTGTCCACCCCAAATTCCCTTTCCTCTTTTCTTTTTTTTTTTTTTTTAAATGTTTATTTCTAGGAGAGAGAGAGAGAGAGAGACAGCGTGAGCAGGTGAGGGTCAGAGAGAGAGGGAGTCACAGACTGAAACAGGCTCCAGGCCCTGAGCTGGCAGTCAGCACAGAGCCCGACGCGGGGCTCAAACCCACGAACCGCAAGATCATGACCTAAGCGAAAGTCGGACGCTTAACCGACTAAGCCACCCAGGCGCCCCCCCTTTCCTCTTTTCTTGACACAGCTCCCTCCTAATGGCATGACTCCTCACAACTGCTTTTTATTTAAGGCACAGACCTTTCTTAGTATTTGTGCTTTCAAATGTGTGAGAAAGAAGCATACCACTGTATTTGTCCTCCTGGCTTTCCTTCCAAGGTCCAAGGAAAAAGCCTTGCTCTCTTCTGTTCTACACATATACAGCCATGCACACTTAAGCATACAGGCTGAATTATCTCAATGACAGAGGCTTCTAGATAGCACTAGTGCACAGACGCACCCCACTCTGCCCATTCCCGTGAGGGAGGGTACACATAATATATATGTTTATTACAGTCATTCTCCTCCCTGGCTGGCTTAATACTTACTTGGGGAGCTTTTTAAAACTATTAAGTGCTCTGAGTCTTATCCCAAAATTTACAAATTAGAACCCTAGGGAAAAAATGCTTTTATCAGGTTTGAAACAACGGATTTTCATATCATAATATAATTATATCTGAAAGGAATCTGACTCCTATTTGAAACTATACTTTAGAAGCTATCAGAGTTAATTAGAATGCATCAAAGTCTGGACCCTCCTAGTAGTTGCTAGAGTTTAAAGGAGCAAATAACTGGGGCGCCTGGGTGGCTTAGTCGGTTAAGCGTCCGACTTTCGCTTGGGTCATGATCTCATGGTTCGTGGGTTCGAGCCCCGCGTCGGGCTCTGTGCTGACTGCCAGTTCAGAGCCTGGAGCCTGTTTCAGTCTGTGACTCCCTCTCTCTCTGACCCTCCCCTGCTCACGCTGTCTCTCTCTCTCTCTCTCCTAAAAATAAATAAAACATTAAAAAAAATAAAAAAAATTTAAAAAAAAATAAAGGAGCAAATAACTATTACAGATGTTCTAGGCATTTAATTTAAAAAAAAATCAAGCCACTGTACTGTAACAATAGTAAAAGTGATTTTCATAAAAATCATAATCTCTGGCAAAGCATACATGGTAGAAAAGTATCAAAATTTTTTTCAAAAGGGGAATATTTGTAAGTGTACAAATCTTGAAATTAAAAAGTCATGAAGACTGGCATACAATTAATAATAAGCAAAATGGGAGAGAAATCACGCAGTAACTGAAATGGGTCAAGTACTAGCAACTGAATGTTTCTAAGGGATACTTCCTGAAAGAACATTGGTTCAAACTAATTTAAATTAAAAAAAGGGAGAAAAAGTACTTCTATGTGGATTATTTTTCTATTTGTATCCTAATGTGAATGAATAATACTCAGTGCCTGGATTCATAGTAAACACAATAGTATTAACAAATACTATTAATAAAAGTGTATCGATACTATTTATTAAATTAATAAATGGACTGCAAACCCATATTAAGCACAAGCCCAAGTATTACTAAACTTCTAGATCAGTAGTAAAAATGTGTTTGGGCTTTAAAGAGCTCACTACTGGTTAAATGCAATCTTTATATACCATACTATCTCAGCAACACTGCTTTAGGAACGTGAAGATTTGATAAGCAACAATATAATGTTAACACAGAAGTTAATGACACATCCTAAGCAGCAAAGCTTAGCAAGGCTATTCCACCTTACTAATGTCCCTCAAGAAACCAGCAGTGACTCAAGGCAGCCATACATGTTTCCTTTAACACGATGGAACTAAAGGGGCGCCTGGGCGGCTCAGTTGGTTGAGCATCCAACTTTGGCTCAGGTCATGATCTCAAGGGTCCTTGAGTTCAAGCCCTACATTGGCCTCCATGCTGACAGTGTGGAGCCACTTGGGACTCTATCTCCCCTCTGTCTGCCTTTCCCCCACTCACACTCTATCTTTCTCAAAATAAATAAATAAACTTTAAAAAAATAATGGAACTAAAGGTAGTTTTGGAGCCACAGAACATCAAATCAGTTATGGCCATAAGGGCCAAGGCACACTTAAATATCATCGCTCTTGCTACAAAGGTCTTTTTAAGCTTATTTATTTATTTAGAGGGAGAGAAAGGGAGAGAGTGCAAGGGAGGAGCAGAGAGAGAGCAAGAGAGAAAAGAGAATCCCAAGCAGGCTTCACACTATCAGCACAGAGTCAGACATGAGGCTCGAACCAAGTGTCAGACGCTTAACCAACTAGCCACCCAGGTGCCCCAAAGATAGATCTTTTAATCACATCAATGATTTCCTCTCTTAGAATGTTTCTTATTTTGTCACATGAGACAGAATAATTTCCATAACTATTTTAAGAAATAAGAGTAACCAGCAGGGGTGGGTGGGTGGGTGGAGGTGGTCTACATTAGATATCCAGGTTCCTTACTTACTCAAACACTAATAAAGATTTGTAGGAATGGAGTCCTAAATGCCTGTTTATTAATAATTTTATTCATGTAAGACCACAGTCACATGCTTATGAAATATATACAACTGCTTCTGCATTATGAAATAACAAAAATGACTTGACATTTAATAAAGTATGACCAGAAACTTAGTGTTCAGACTGTCTCTCTTTGTCAATTCTTCCCACCCTCTTACCTTGAGAGGCGGTACTTTTCGCACCTGGATCCTGTCTGCTCTACTGAGAAAGGGCTGTGGCGAGACTTGAAATGGCTGCTGGTGCTGGCGATTCTCAGTGACACGTGGCCTCTTCTCCCAGCTCATAGAGGCCTCTTCTTGGAGGAGACAAGACTTCCTCTTGAGGCTCTCGGGGCTGTGATCAGCCACAGCTGATGGAGGCTCTTTCACAGCGGTCTCCTGTGGACTGGTTTCCACTACGGGCTTCATTCCTGGCTTATCCACCCCAGGACTCTTGGGTTTGTTTGGGGACGTAACTAAAGCTCCTTGGCTTTCATCTTTGTTGTAATTAGAAACTGTAGTGAGATGATTCTCTTTCTCAGACTCCTGTTCAACAGAGGCAACGGGCTTCTGCTCCAAGAGCTCATCATCCTTTGGGCACTTGATAGGAAGAGTGCTGCCAAGCTCCTGGCTATTGCTTGCTGGGGACAGGAGGGACTCTGTGGGCTTGGAGTTTGGCAGCACCGGATCTTGGTTTTCGTACTCTTCCTTCCTTACTGGCGATGGCGTTTGTGCCACTTCTTCTTTATGCTCTAACTGGGGAATCACTGGGACTGCACTGGCAGGTGAGGTTTCTAAAGGAAGCATGGGTTTTGGTTGCTCAGCTGGGGGTTTCTTTACTTTGAGATCACAGGGTGAGGCTGTCAATTTCTTTGAATCCTCAAGGCTCAGGCCAGAACTAAAAGGTGGAAGATAAAAATATTCTAGTTGAGAAATAGCCCATGTTATTGAAAACATTATGAGATAATAGTATACTGCAGTGCCTAGAAGAAACCCTGAAACACAGGAAGTATTCCTCACATGTTATCTTCACTATTATTACCATTAGTGAAGTTCTGGAGTTCGAGTGCCTGGATGCAATCCTAGCTCTGATACGATCCATGTGAACTGAGGAAGTCACTAGTCTTCTGTACCTCACTTTCTTCGGTTATATTTGGAGATTCATCATCACTTGATACTACTGGTATTATTAAATTAATGCATGTAAGGTACTTAGAACAGTACCTGGCACATATTAAAGCTCGATAATGTTAATTTTTATCATTACTTGTGCCCTAAGAGGGGCTACCTTGTCTAGAAACAAGTATCACAGACTACTCACAAGAGAAGTAAAAGATCATCAAGATCCATGCACCCTGATCAACTCTGCTCTGCAGTACCTGAGAAATGCTGGCCCAAGAAATCTAAGGGGCCCCTGAGAAGACAGTAGGAGTTGGCTGTCAACACTCTCCAGGCATTGAAAATTAGACCTCTGGACTTTCTGGAAAGCCTGTTTATACTTCACTTAGTGCTATAATTCTGAGACTGAGGCCTCCTAGCAAGAGCTAAGCTATGCCGCAGGGGCCACTAGAGGCTCCTCCTGATGTTTTACATTATCGTTTAAACAGGCAAAAGCAAGGCACCCTCTTTGGTGACTTCAAATGATCAGGATTGCACAATGGCTAATGACAAAACTACACAATACTAAAAAATGGTTCTTCTATAAAAGCTGGCAAAAAAGCAAGAGCTGAAAACAGAAAGACCCAAGAATTGCTACAATGCTCTATCTGGCTAAGGAGGGAATGAATGAACAATATTTATAGAGTAACTGCTATCTGTAGTAACGCTCTGTATGTATACACCATAATTTCTACAAAGGGCTCAAAGTTCATACCAAGAGTAGAGAAAATATCAATATGTGAGACGGTTTTCTTTTTTTAAAGATTTTGTTTTTAAGTAATCTCTATTCCCAATATGGAGCTTGAACTCACAACCCCAAGGTCAAGAGTTGCATACTCTGCCACCTGAACCATCCAGACACCTAAGTAAGTGACACGCTAAATTTCAATAGGAGTCACTTCCTAAACGATCATAAAGGGAAGCAATGAACTACTTGGAGATAAGGAAAAGAGCCATTCATTCTCAAACTGTGGTTAGAGTGTTCTTAAGGACCCTTAATGAGAAGGTATGGAGAAGGAAAGAAGGGAGACAAACCAATAGAATCTGGATGTTCAATCCTACTTCAAACAATACAGCTCCACTGTCATCTATTTAAATGTCCCCTCTAAAATTTTATTTGGATTTTTTGTTAGGAAAAAAAATGATTTAGACTACATATTCTTGAGAACACGGTTTGTATCTTGATTCAGCTATTAATACCTCCCAGAGTGCCTTCTACAGAGGAGAGGCTGTTTAATGATGCACTGGGTGTAATGATCCATATTATGGGATTCCTTAGTGATTTTGGATAAATTATCATCTTTTGGGATAATTAACTACTAAAGAAATGTACAGAACTTCAGTTTTCTCATAACTTATAAAGTCACTGGAAGAACTACTCAACCTATTCAAAGAAAGAAACTCCAAGATAACAGATTTTTTTTTTGTTAATGAAACCATCCCACCCACAATGGTAATGAGTTAGAGTTAAGTAATCCAATTCTGTGAACCCATGATTCATTAAAAGAAAATAATTCTTGGTAAAAAAGAATTAGTGAAAAAAAATAGAAGGAAATTGAGGACCAGATTTTCTAGAAAGATAGTAAGATGAAACACTGTGTGACATATATGTAGTAATGAACATTTGGTTTATAGAACCTGTATTGATATTACCTCTGACCATAGTAGCTTTCAAAGAATTGTTCTTTCCATGGCTCTACTCTTTTCTCCTTCTCAATCTCTTGTCGAATTCTCACCTGCATCTCAGGTGTAAATTCACCTGTAATGTACAAAAAAAAAAAAAAAAAAGATACTCAACAGAAATATGCTGTTTCCATCTTTTAACTTTCTAGATTACAAAAAGACTCATGCAGGTGTCAAAATACCATCATGTGAAAGTAACAGAAATTTCCCAACATTCCTCACTGGAAGGGAGCACCTAAATGCCATTAGGTGAAATAAAAATACTTGTGTACCACTCCTTGTAGTGTTCAGCTCCCAGATGAGGCCACCTGTGCCTTTTCTCTGGGCCTTCCTTGTAGCACTTCCCTCTGACGTCAAACATCATATTCTTTACAGATTTATCACTAACCTTGAATGTTTAATTTCCACTGGAAATTTGATATGACTCTCATATGTTTTCAGTAAATAATGCCACAGAGTATTTTATAATTTTAAATCTCTGTTTCTCTGAGGCAACTTGTATTTTATGCCCTTTACCTGCTACTGCATAATGAACAGCTGCAGCCCTGCTCAAAACCATTTGAGGCTCAGTAAAGAGAGGGAGCTATTTAGGAGTTGTCAAGTTTTCTAAATGCTCCAGAAACTGTGCCACTCTAGTGCCTTAGCAAGGAGGCACTCAACATGTCAAACACCCAGGTGCTCTGAACATGACAGTTATGTGCACATACTACAGGCCACCTCAGTCCCTCCCACTCCATGAGCAGAGAACAGTTCAATGTGCTGGGTAGGCCATCTTCAAACTGTGGCTTGGAAACACTGCTCTCTTATATTCTACTACCCTGGACATCAAGGAATAAGAAATGGCAATGGTAGACTTGAAGTTTAAGGTCTCCTGTGGGGAAGAAGATAGAAAGGAAAAGTGTTCAAGGACATAGTCCTGGGCATATGAATAGGAAAAGAGGAATTTGCCTGTCAGAATCCAACCCAGAACTACTTTTTTTGTTGAGTCTACTGTACACGACAGAATGAGAACAGAAAGCATTGCATTCTGTTCACACATGTACAGTGCTTAAAGTTTTTGCTGCTCACATGACTCTAGGTATAGAAGCGACTGCTCCTATGCAGTTAACACTGCTAATGATCAAGGAATCACTGTTGTTAACACCTACTTTAAAAAACTAGGGGGATGGGAAGAGCATAAACCCTTTACCAAATTATCTTTTTGTTTTAAAGTAGGCTTCATGCCTGGCAAGGAGCCCAACGTGGGGCTTGAACTCACAACCGTGAGATCAAGACTTGAGCTGAGATCAAGAGTTGGACGCTTAACCCACTGAGCAACCCAGGTGCCCCCACCAAATTATTCTGAAAGGTAATGATAATGTATATGTTTTATAGTACTTTTGTAATTTTAGCTCTTTAAGAAAAAAAGTGGTCTCTGCTCAAGAAAATCTATAAGAGGTAGGACCAGAGGAATCCGTTAGAGAGCCTTTCTACACAGAATTTGCCCCCATGGGGCGCCCAAGTGCCTCAGTTGGTTGAGAGTCCAACTTCGGCTTCGGTCATGATTTCATGCCTCGTGAGCCCTAGCCTGAACTCCACATTGAGCTGTCTGTTGTTAGCAAAGAGCCCACTTGAGATCCTCTGTCCCCACCCTCCCCTGCACCTTTCCTGCTTGCACTCTCTCTCAGAAATAAATAAACATGAAAAAAAAATTAACAATTTAAAAAAAAAGAAGGGCAAGAATTTGCCTCCTAAAAAAACAACAACCCCCCCCCCGCAAACAACAGGAAAGAAAATGTCAACAACTACAGTGAATGTAGACAATTAGCTTGTCAACTAACCCCAAATGCTAGTGATTTGACAAAAAGTGAACAATGAATAGCATTCCTAATGCTCTCTTTATAAATGGATTTAATCTTTTTTTTTTTAATGTTTATTTTGGGGAGGCTAGAGAGAGGAGGAGACACAGAATCTGAAACAGGCTCCAGGCTCAGAGCTGTCAGCACAAAGCCTAATGCACGGCTCGAACCCATGAACTGAGAGATCATGACCTGAGCCAAAGTTGGAGGCTTAAATGACTTGAGCCACCCAGGCGCCCCATAAATGTATTTATGTTAAAGCTTCTCACACTTGTTTTAAGCTATGCCTTGGCATAAATTCATATCATATGACTTTTCAAGTGCTAGTATGTATTCCGTGCGTGCTGAAAACCAAACATAATAGAGCACTGTAAATCTAATTCTACACTCCACTTATTAAGGTGCTTAGTAAAATCTCATTTCCTAGATATTAACCTAGAATCACTAAGTCAGAATCTTTAGGACTAGGGCCTAAAAATCTGTTTGTTTGTTTGTTTGTTTGTTTTATTAAGTTTCCCAGGCGACTTTGAATTCTTAAAGAAACACTGTTAGACTCTATCTAGAGCCAAAACCTGGTTACACAGGCTCCGGATAAAAGTCAGTACTGTGTTTCACACAGGATAGCCACTTCCACCCCATGGAAACTTCCGGTCCTTTGCCTACCAAAATTGCTCAAAAACTCAACAAGGCACAGAGGTGCCAATATGCCCTCACAGTGGCTCCAAGTGCATATACAGTCTAGGAGGCACACAGGGCAGGACACTTACCTTCTGAGAGTCGTTCCTTCCAGCCCTGAGCTGCTGAAGTGAAGAACTCATTGTTAAGGGCTGAGCCATTTAACTTCATCAGACCGTCTGGACCAACCTAGGTCAAAGAATAAGCCAAGAAAAGCTAACAATGAAAGCCAAATGTATCATGTGGAATTTGATTTTAATTTATAGAAGAATGTATATACATTTATACATATATATTTCATTTTACATAAGCATGACTAGATCATACCGTGCTGCCTATTATGGATACTCCTGTTTTATCATGTATCATTTTTCTAATAAACTTCTTTCCTGATTACCTCTCCTCCCTTCTTCCTCTACTCTCAATTCCATTCCCCATTTACGCTACTCAAAGAATCATCTGCAAACAAATAAATTTACATCTACGAAGTTCTTTTCTTGAGAGGTTTATTATTTGTTTTATAAAACTGTGACCAAGCTAAATACACCGTTCTGAATCTTACTTTCCTCACATAATACACTGTGGAAGTCTCTCCAAGTGAACTGGCACCATGTTAGCCTTTATAATAGCTGCATTAGTTATTTCATGGTATGTATGCACCTCATTTCATTTACCTGTTTCTTTTTTTTAGGAGACAGAATTCCAAGCAGGTTCTGCACTGTCAGCACAGATCCCTATACAGGGAGCTCAAACTCATGAATTGAAAGATCATGACCTGAGCTGAAATCAAGGAGTTGGATGCTTAACCAACTGACCCTCCCAGGTGCCCCCATTTACCACTTTCTTAATTATAAACATACACCTTATTACCAATGTTTTCCCATAATGAACCAAGGTGCAATAAGCATTCTGGTAAAGATGAATATACTAGTGCTTCTATTTCTTGGAATAAATTCTGAAAGCAAAGAAATATCTGTGTGTGTAACCAGGTATTGTTAGACTTTTTTCCAAAAAGGCTACAATTCTTATTTCTATCAGAAATATATGCATATACCCTTTATCCTATGAACAGATGTTAGCCAGACATTTTTTTTTGGCCACTCTAATAAGTTTGAAATGGTAATTTTCTTTATCTTGACTACTGGAGTTTTATTCGCCTTTTTGTATGTTTATTAATATTTGGATTTGCAGGGTGCCTGGGTGGCTCAGTCAGTTAAACATCCAATTTTGGCTCAGGTCATATCTCATGGCTCAGCAGTTCGAGCCCTGTGTCAGGCTCTATGCCGACAGCTCAGAGCCTAGAGCCTACTTTGGATTCTGTGTCTCCCTCTCTCTCTGTCCCTCCCCCTCCTTCTCTCCTCTTCAAAAATAAACATTAAAAATTTTTGAAAGAAAATTTAAAAAATCATCTTGTGAAATTCTTATCATTTGCTCATTTTTTATGAGGCTGCTTATTTTTTATTATTAACTTGTGAGAATCCTTTACATAGTACTCATAGTAAAACTCTAACATATTAAAAATATTTCCCCCAATTCCATCAGTCTACTGATTTGATTTGTGATTTCTTCCCAAAAGGCTTTAAGGTCCTTTACATTAGAGATTTTGAATTTCCTATCTTGGTTTAGAACCATAAAATCTTACTGAAGGACATAAAACACAAAATATGAAAATATCTGGGCAGAAAAACTTAATAAAATCGCCATTCTCTCCGAAGTTAATACCTACATTTCAATCAAAATCCCTTGCAGATTTTTCATTAACAAAATGATTTTAAAGTTTATATGGAAAAGAATATGAAAACCTGCATTTCCAATTACTAAACATACCCCACACAAAGCCACTGTAATCAAAACTATTATTGCTAGCATTAGAAGGAATAAGGAAATGAGTGGAAGAGGAGTGTGTATAAATACCTACTGCATATAACTGAATAAAATATATAACAAATATAGTATCTCAAACTGCAACAAAAAATTACTACATTAAATATATAGTGGTGGAAAGACTGGTTATCTATTATTCAGTGGAAAATAAAGTTGAATCACAATTTCAGAGCAATACAAAAAAAAATTCTAGATAGATTAAAAACTTAAATGTAACCTTTAAATCAAAAGCAAGTTTTTTGAAGAAAACTTTTAACTATTTGGACATCCTATGGATTAAGAAACTCACTTTCTATTCCTACTTGGGCTAACATTATCTTTTCCTAGCTCTAGAGCAGAAATTGGTGAACTTTTTTCTGTTAAAGGAGAGACTGCAAATATTTTAGGCTTTGCAATGCCATACGACCTCTGTTGCAACTACTTAACTCTGCCTTGCTGCATGATCTCAGCTACAAACAGTATGTAAACAATGTTAAGTGGATATATGCTGATAAAACTTTATTTACAAAAGCAGGCAGTGGGCTGAAATTGGCCAATGGGCTACAGTTTGACTACTGATCTGTACTCTAGAAAGTTGTCAGGGGTTAACAGTCTAACCCATAAGAACTATAAGAACTTACAGTCTACCCTTCTAAGAACTATAAGAACTTAATGTCTTCCCTATTAAGACCTCTTATACGAAGTCAGCCAACCTCTGCTTGAATAGCCCAGTGATGAGACAGTTACTCCATCACAGGTCACTCCATTTTAACAGCTCCAACTGTTAAAAAAAAATTATTATTTTAACTCCACATCTGCTTTCTGGAAACCCAAAAAAGTTTACCTCTTTCATTTGACAGACCTTCAAATATATCTGAAGAGTGCTCCAGTCCCCTCCTATATTCTTTTCTCTGGTTTAAATAATGTCTGTGGCGGGGCACTCCATATACAGAAATGTTGTTTTCAATGTTTCATCCTAGTAATACTCAGAATTCTATAAACATTCTAAATTATCTGACAGTGAGGTTGATTTGCGTTCCATACTTCAATAGATAAGGACATTATTTCTCAAATTACTCTATGTTCCCACTACAATCAAAAAAGGCCAATAACGCCCTACTAATAATTCCCTACAGGGGCATCTGCGTGGCTCAGTCGGTTGAGCATTTGGCTGTGGTCATGATCTCACAGTTCATGAGTTTGACCCCCCACATTGGGCTCACTACTGTCAGCCTAGAGCCGGCCTCAGATCCTCTGTCCCTACCCTGCTTACGCTGTCTCTCTCTCAATAATAAATAACACCAACAAAAAAAAGAATTCCCCACAGGACTGCACTCTATGGAAAGATGAACAGATAACTTCTAGGATCCCTTTTAATTCTAACCCTATATGTGGCAGTCCTCCTGAGAAAGAATAAGGAACATTAGTCAAGAGAAAGTTCTAAGGAATCTGCACTAACGTTCTAGAGATGGGCCCTCAGTTAGGTCCTATCTTGTCATTCCCAACCTACCTTAAGTCTTTAAAATAAATATGAGAGCAATCCCTATTGAGATGTTCTCTAAAAGCTCTGCAAATAAGTCAGCCTCCTAACCTGTCTGAACCAAAAACAAGGCATCCCCAAAGTTGTAATTTCTCCAAGAAGTGTTAAGGTGGGGAAGGCATGAGCTGGGAAGGATCAGCTTGCTTACTTCTTTGTCCCTGCTGCTGGCAGTACACCTGACTTACTTGGTCTCCTTGAAAATAGAATCTGACCTGCTTGCACATGTGCTGATTCACAGCACTAGGTGATTGAAAGTGGTACCAATACGGTTGAATAGAAAGATCATTTTCAGAATTAGAAATATGTTGTTTTGACAGTAGAGTCAATTAGCTAGAATAATGTGTGCAGATTACTTACTCTCCTTTAATCTCATACTACAAACTAGGGGATATATCTAGCTTTTTACTGTGAACTAGGGAAAATCCCTTTTTCTCATCTTGTTTTTATAATGATTAGGAAAAATGGGGGAGGGCCTATCAGATTACTTAGAAGACAGTATGTGTTTGGAAATAATGAATTTTTTTAAAAACACTCAGAATTTTAAAACCCTCAGAACTGAATAAATCTTAGAAAATCATAATGGTCCTATCCTCCTTTTATAGAGAAGGAAACAGATGATCAGACGTGCGGAGTGACCCTCAAGTAACTCTTTCTCCGATGAAAACCTAAGTCTCTGATCTATACCTAATTCCTCACCAACCTAAATCTCTCTGGTCCCTTCCTAGACTTTTCTCAAATTTGGTATTTCTTCTAGCTATCTTTTCTAAAACTATAATGTAATATTTGGGTTTTTAAAATTCTTTATATATATTTTAAGTTTACTTATTTTTTTGAGAGAAAGAGTCTGGAAGGGTGAGAGAGAATGTGAGAGAGAATCCCAAAAAGGCTCTGCACTGCCAGCACAGAGCCCAATGAGGGGCTCGAACCCAGAAACTGAGATTGTGACCAGAGCCAAAACCAAGGTGAATGCTTGACTCAGTGAGCCATCCAGGTGCCCCTTAAGGTTCTTTATTATGAAAACAAGAAATGTTTGTTTTTTAAAAAACTAACAAAGAATGAAAATGATTAACACTCTTACTCCCTACAAAAAAACCACTCAAGAACTCCTGTTTAATGTCTGAAATAAGACAACTCGTCCTCTTGAACTATATTCAATGAATGTCTACTGAGTATGAGAGCTACACAAATTTTATTCCATTATCTTGACATTCTGATGAGATTTGTTCCTTTGTAAGACTTACAGGGGAAGATTCTTAAGAACACTTCTTTAAAATATTATTATTTCTTGGTCAGTAGCTTTGATACCACTTCTTTACAAACATACATAAAAAGCTATTTAAAAAGTCTTAAGGAGTTCTAAAGGGGAATGAGTGAAGAAAGCCTCAGAAGAAGGGTTTTTCAAAACTGCTTATGCGTGAAAGTAAGCGCACCTGGCGATCCACCTCCGGGAGGAGCAAGAGCAGTCGCTGCTGGCAGTCCCCGGGAAGGACTGAGAAGGTGTGCTTGTTGATCAGAGCCCGCAGATTTGTGTTAACCAGAATGGAGTCTGGCGTCTCAACATCAATGTCAGCACATTTAGTCCTTTTCATTTGCCCTATAAAAATAGGGGAAAGAATCATTTAGGCCTCCTTTCCGTTCCTGTTTCTCTCTAGAGTACAGCTTGCTCTGCAGTGCAAAAAAATCGACAGTTGTAACTACTTTAAATATCACGCGGTAAGGAAGGGAACACTTAAGGGTTTTAGAAATTTCTCCCAGGACTAACAAAAGCAAGATGTGGCACATATGCAAAATGAACCAAGAAAATTCAGAAAACTTCCAATCTATATAATAAATCATATTGAGATCCTTTTTCCCTTTCCATGGGAATTTTTTCATCAATTTTCATTACCTAAAAATGTTATGACTGAATAGCTTGTGCTTTCAAGAAACTTGTTCACAATCAGGTTATATTCTTTCAAATGACTGACAGATTTCAGTACACAAAAGTTACAAATGTAAACAGGAAAAAATATCATAAACAAAAGACTAACTTGCCAAAAATATTTGCAAGCCATGACAAAACTTTATTATTCTTCATATTAAAAGTGCATCAATGTGGGGTACCTGGCTGACTCAGTCTGTATAGCATGCAACTCTTGATCTCAGGGTCATAAGTTCAAGTCCCACACTAAGCCTAGAGCTTACTTTAAATAAACTTGCTAGATATTAAAAAATAAAATTTAATGCATCTATAAATCAAAATGAAAAAGATACATCACCTTGAAAAAAAATGAGCACTGTGAATTACAGACAATTCACAGTTGACTAATCATAAACAGATGCTATGGTATTAATATTTTAAAAATTCAAGTTAAACCAATGAACATTTTTTGCTATCAAAATGGCAAATACTACAATATAGTGATGAGACTACACAGAGAAAAGGCAAAGACCACTTTCAAATACTGCTGATGGGGCCCAAATGAGTATAATCTTATTAGAAGAAAATTTGATAATATATAGCAAAATTTTAATGTGCACAGAAATCTAAGACCCAGAAATTCTACATTTAGAAATATATGCACAAAGCTAAACAACAGTGAATGTGCATAAGGTCTGCTCTGGATGTAGCAGAAACAAAAGTAATCTCTTTAAAAAAAACATTTTTTAAAAATTTTTATTTATTTTTGGGTGTCTGGGTGCCTTAGTCGGTTAAGCGTCCGACTTTCGTTTGGGTCATGATCTCGCGGTTCGTGGGTTCGAGCCCCGCATCGGGCTCTGTGCTGACTGCCAGCTCGGAGCCTGGAGCCTTTTTCAGTCTGTGACTCCCTCTCTCTGACCCTCCCCTGCTCACGCTGTCTCTCTCTCTCTCTCTCCTAGAAATTAAAAAAAAAAAAAAAAATTAAAAAAATTAAAAAAAAAATTTATTTTTGAGAGAGAGGGAGCAAGGGAGGGGCAGAGAGAGAGAGGGAGACACACAATCTGAAGCAGGCTCCAGGCTCCAGCTCTGAACCCCCAACGAGGGGCTCGAATTCACGACCTGCGAGATCATGATCAGAGCCAAAGTCAGATGCTCAACCGACTGAGCCACCCAGGTGCCCCCAAAAGTAATCTCTCTTAAGCGGAAAGGATTTCCCTTAAGTTAGGTTCATAGGCTTCCTACTAATTAAAATCCAGCACTATCTCACACAGACTACCCTGACAAACCAACAGACATGCCATGATGACAGAGAATCAACAGAAACCAAAAATAAAACGTTTAGACCTAAAAGTACTGCTCTTACTACAACTGTCACAGATAGTACACAAGACAGCGCTATATAAAGGGATTAAAGAAATAAAGAATGCGATTGTAAAGATGGAGATAAAATAATCAGGAATGAGCACAATCAGGTATCAGTAAATTTCAAATAATGTTAGTAGTAATTATAACAACAATGATCAATAACAGCAGCAACACACACTTCTTTAAGGCTTCATAAGAACCAGGCACTACTCTAAACATTGACATGTGTTAGCTCATTTATTTTTCACATAATTCCACAAAGTAGGAAACTATTATTATACATTTCACAGATGAAGAAAGTGAGGTCCGACATCGTAAGTAACTTGCCCACAATTGTACCATTGCGTTAGAGTGAAGGAATCTGAACCCAGGCACTGTGGCGCCAGAGTCTGTTGTTTATCACTGTAGTGTAGAGGAACAGGCATCATACAGTGCGTGATCTCTGATTACTAGGTGTTTAAGTTAAAAGTTCATAACAGGAACATAAAAATTCCTATATATTTATATTTTAAAGACTTTATTTTTAAGTATCTCTAAGCCCAATGTGGGGCTTGAACTCATGACCCTGAGATCAAGATTCACATGCACTACCCACTGAGTCAGCCAGGTACCTTCAAATCCCTATGTATTTTAAGAAAATAAAAAACCTTCCCAAGCAGATTCTGTGCTATCAGTGCAGAGCATGACGTTGGGTTTGATCTCATGCACTGTGAGATCATGACCTGAGCTGAAATTAAGAGTCAGACGTTTAGCCAACCGAGCCACCTAGGAAAATTTTTAAAACTTCAAAATAATTCCTGGGACAGAGGAAAAATCATAATAAAAAAATTTTAAGCATTTCAAATTGGATGATATTAAAAACTTATTAACAAAATACCAAATTAACAGAGTACCAAAATATATAAATAAAGTGCTCGCTTTGGCAGCACATATACCAAAATATATAAATGAAAAGTAAAGGCTTCTACATTCCCAGCTTTCTATTTTAAGGGACATCTTATTTATATTTATATAAATGGGTGTATATATATATGTATATATATATACATATATTCTTTTAAGTTTATTTATTTTGAGAGAGACACAGAGAGAGAGAGAGCACATGCACACAAGCACACATATGGGGGAGGGTCAAAGACGGAGGGAGGGAGAGAATCTCAATTATGCTCTGTGCTGTCAGTGCACACGGGGCTCAATTCCATGAACCATTAGATCATGACCTGAGCAGAAATCAGGAGTCAGATGCTTAACTGACTGAGCCACCCAGGAACCCCGAAAATGGCATTTTTAATTTGAAATGAAATCACAATATTCATACAAATGTAGTCTTTTGTTTCACAGAGTATCTTAGACATCTTTCCAAACTATCACCTACAAAGCTAACTCTTTCTTTTGTAAAAGCTGCACTATATTTCAACATATGTACCATGTTAATTTAATTAGACACCCACTGATGATCACAGAGGTGATCACTTTGTGATTTGCATAAATAGTATTGCCATGGCCCCAGGGACTGAGAATAGCATCCTAGTTTTGCTTCCCCACGTGACTGATGAAATGAGAGTGCCAGCATTCCTTGAACAGCTTTTCACTATTTTTGCATTCATTTTGTACCTTCACATCCAAGTCAAACTTAGGTTAAAGTTTTAATTTTTTTTTTTTTTTTTAAAGTAAGTTCTATACCCAACATGGCACTTGAACTCACGACTTCAAGATCAAGTGTTGTGTGGATTACCAACTGAGCCAGCCAGGCACTCTGTAAAAATTTTAACTTAACTCCTTAAGTGAGATTTAGGAGTTATGAATTGGTTTGTTTTATTACTGGTCAAATAGTGCCCATGCATATTTTTATGAGCCTCAGACAAACTGGCTCATTTTTAGAATTTAGAATTTAAATTTTAAGTCCCCTTAAAAGGACTTGGTTTGTTTGTTTTTTTCCTTCAATTTAGGTTGTCGTATTCTATTGTATTATACTTGATATCTGAGCTATGTTTATTTATCCATTTGACTCTGGGATATAAAAATATATGATATACTATTAATTTCATTGAAGTTAAAACAAACTATACCAATATTAACTTAAAAAGTTTTGTGTAAATTAGCTAAATTAGTTTCATCATTTATATCTTACACAAAATGTATAATTTCTTCCATACATTTAAAAAATACTGTGGCGTGTACTGTAAAGATTCCCACATTATTTCCATTAATGCTTATTTGCGTGAGAAGATGAACCTGCATTTACTTCTTGGCCATGAAGTAAAACTTAGGTACACCATGCTTTCTTTTCTTATAGTTAATTTTTCCTAGTTTGTTAGTATACAAGCCAGAAATTCTCAGTCCATAATTTCTCAATTTTTTACATTTACATTTTTACTGCAATTGAATGAAGATACTAAAATTGTGACTGTGACTGCATTTAAGTAGAATTTAGTGTCCATAAGGAACTTTGTTTATCACCACATGTCTAGGAACCCGTGTTTAGCAGATTAGTATACCTTCTATAAGTAGTTATTTAATTAATGAATATATTTAATCTTTGGCAGTGGAACTGATGATCAAAGGGTATGCTCAGTTCACGGCAGATACTGCCTCTAAGAAAAATGTACCATTTTACAATCTACCCAGAATCAAACCAGATTTTTACAAAGAAAGTGTCTGGTTGCTGGAATCAAGACAAGAAGGGAAAGAAGCTGGCACCTCCAGCAACCTGCGGGCTCGGTTCTGACACCTCACTGTTTATACTGTGCCTGGTAATCTTCAAATTATTTCCACTGACCTGCCTTACACCTCACTTAGCATCTTCTTGGGGAGCAAAAACAAATTAGATTTGTTCTACTCTCGGCAGGTGCCTGAACACCTGAGCCACAGCTCCTGTGGGGCTGGAAATGACTCTAGATGCCCATCATGTAGCTTAATGTTCCAAAAACACCAATCCCAGTAAGACAAGTGTTGGATTTCAAGAATTCTTTTTTCTCCCTTTTCTCTTTTTAAAGATTTTATTATTTTTAAATAATTTCTGCACCGAATGTAAGGCTCGAACTCACAAATCTGAGATCAGGAGTTGCATATTCTATGGACTGAGCCAGCCAGGTACCCCTGGATTTCAAGAATTCTCACTTATTTTAATAAATAACTTGTATAATCAAAAAACAACAAGAAAAGAAAACCAAAGAAGTTGTCTGAAAATATTATTAATACTGTTCTCACACTTAATAGTTTGGAAGGCTCTGGAACATACAAGTGGGTATATAATGTCTTCTTCCAATTTTATCAGCATTGCCACACTATCTTTCAGCTTCTATTCTGCTTCCGAGATGTTCACCATCTCAATTCCTACATCTTTGTATGTCAAGTATTTTCTTTCTCTCTGGAGGCTTTTTAGGAATCTTCTCATTTCTGGATGCTTTGAAATTTCAGAAGAATATGCATTGGAATGGGTTTCTTTTTATTCATGCTTCTTGACACGAATTGTGTACATTTACTCTGGAATCTGTGACTTTCAATTCTCTGGAATTTTCTTACATTATTTTTCTTATTATCTAACCCCCCCCTTTCAATTTCTGTTCTTTCTGATGGTCCTACTATTTTATTTAAAAAAAAACTTTTTTTAATGTGTATTGATTTTTGAAGGAGAGAGTGCATGCAAGCAGGGGAGGGGCAGACAGAGACAGAGAGAGAGACAGAATCTGAAGCAGGCTCCAAGCTCTGAACTCACAACCCACAAGATCATGACCTGAGCAAAAGTCAGGACACTTAACTGAATGAGCCACCCAGGCAAACCTAAAAATGTTTTATTTTTTTTCTTTTTGTGAGAGAGAGAGAGAAAGAGAGAGCATGTGTGCAGGAGAGAGGAGCAGAGGGAAAGGGGAGAATCTGAAGCAGGCTCCACGCCCAGTGCAGAACTGATGCAGGGTTTGATATCATGACTGTGAGATCATTACCTAAGACGAAATCAAGGGTCGGACGTTTAACCAACTGAACCACCCAGGCGCTTCTCTGATGGTCCTACTATTTTAGACATTAGACATTCTAGATTGGTATTCCAATTTTCTTACCTTCTTTCTCCTTTTGAATTTCTCTTTTGCCCTATGTTTGAGAAATTTCTTTACCTTTCAGTATTTCCATTATAATTTTTTATTTAAGCTATATTATTACTTAGTACCCTAGAACTCTTTATTTTCTGAGTTTTAAAACAGTAGTTTGAGGGGCGCCTGGGTGGCTTAGTCGGTTAAGCGTCCGACTTTCGCTTAGGTCATGATCTCGCAGTTCGTGGGTTCGAGCCCCACGTCGGGCTCTGTGCTGACTGCCAGCTCAGAGCCTGGAGCCTGTTTCAGTCTGTGACTCCCTCTCTCTCTGACCCTCCCCTGCTCATGCTGTCTCTCTCTCTCTCTCTCCTAGAAATAAATAAAACATAAAAAAAAAAATTAAAAAAAAAATAAATAAAACAGTAGTTTGTTCTTTCATGAATGCAATATCATCTTTTATTTCTTTTTGTGGATATTATAGTTTTTAAAGTTGTTTGTTTTCAATTTTCCTGAATTGTCTGTTTCTTCTGAATCTGTATTTCAGATTCTGTGTATCATGATGGAGGTCTTCAAAGGTGATTGTGACAAAAAAAAAAAACAAAAAAAAAAAAAAAAAGCTGCCTGGAGGGGCACCTGGGTGGCTCAATCAGTTAGTTAAACATCCGACTTCCACTCAAGCCATGACCTCATGGTTCATGATGAGCCCCAGGTTGGGCTCTGCCCTGATAAGCTTGGAGTCTATAGCCTGCTTCCATTCTCTGTCTTCCTCTCTCTCTTTGCCCTCCCCAACTTGCATGCAGACATTCTCTCTCTCACAAATAAATAAAAGCCCTGGGGCTCTTGGGTGGCTCAATCGGTTGAGCATCCCACTTTGGCTCAGGTTGCAATCTCACAGCTCGTGAGTTCGAGCTCCGCATTGGGCTCTGTGCTGACAGCTCAGAGCCTGGAGCCAGCTTCAGATTCTGTGTCTCCCTCTCTCTCTGCCCCTCTCCTGCTTTCGCTCTCTCTCTCTCACACACACACACACAAATAAATAAGCATTAAAAACATTTCTTTTCTTTTTTTTTTTTTTTAATTTTAAACAAAGGACAACTGGAAATTTTGGGTACATAGGTGTGTAGGTCTTATAGACTGGTGAGCTCCACAGAAATGTGACCAAGATGATTTGTATCTAGTATTGCAATCTATAAAGTTGCCTGCAAATTTTCTTCTAAGGCTATTCAATTTCTTTAGCTATCGACCCATCCATCTCCTGCTGGAACACAGGTGGGGTTGGGAGGAAGGAAGTAGTGGGGGCAGAAATATGCTTTCCTACTAGCAATCTGGGAGCCGAGCAGAAGGATCACTATTAGTATTTGTATTTTTCTTTATTCCCCCGATTTCAGCACACTGCCTTATTCTGTGCCCTCAGCCATGAGTGGTATCTCTGAATTTGATATCTATATGGTTTAATTTCACCTCAGAATAAACCTTCTGTCTCCTGCTTGGGAGAAGCATCAATCTGCTTCTTACTAACTTTCAAAAAAGGTCTTCTTTTCAACCCGAGGCTTCATTCACCCTTCTGAACGATGAGACACGCTACCTCCTATTCTGGAATCCGTCCCGTGTGCTGCAGCCTTAACTGGCTTGCTTACTATTGGCATCTGTTGCTTGGCTCTGTGAAAAACTCCATCCAGTTTTCATCTTTCAAAATTTGTTGACACTGCCTGCCCATCTGTTGTCTCCTTGTTTGCTTCGCCCTTAGGGATTAATCTGTGGGACTTCCATATTCTCATCTTAGTGGGGTTCCAAAGGGAGCAGGACAAGAGGGTCAGTTTGCTATGTTTCATTATAAGTCCTTGTACCTTTCTGTACACAGAAATAAGACACTAATATGCTGGACAAAGCAGCCTATTGTCAGAAAAAGAACTAAACCACAAAACAGCTGCTGAATTTCAAACACCAGTTGACAAATTGAGATGCAGAATCGTCTTTGTAAATTAACTTACTTGTGTGGAGCCTGTCAGACCTCTGGAATGACTTCTTCCCCAAGCCTAGCAAGGGATTTTCCACTTGAACTGAACAGGAAAAGCTGGAGTTTGAGTTCTGAGGGCTGCCTGATTGCCCATCAGATGGCTTTCCTTCCCATATTGCTAAGAAAAAAAAATATATCAAAGACTAGTGACACCAAAGTTACAGACAGAAATCAATCAAGCAAACAATTAAATCATTCAACACTAAAAGTGCCTCAAAAACAAGAGGCACTGTGACCCTGCAAATGTGTTTTGAGTCTGCAAATTCAGTTAAAAAATAAACTCCCTTCTGGAAGGAAGCATATTACTTGCTTCTGGTGTTAAATTTCCTTCCTAACTAAAATACAAAGTTCTGTACGACACAGTTTAAATTTGGCAGACCCATATAATCAGCTAGCATCAAAATGAATTGTATAATAAAATACAGAGTCTGTATCTAACCCAGTTTGGATGAAAAACAAAACAAACAACAAAAATCCAAAGGCCTGTCTTTATATCCAAATGGAAATTCAAAGGTAGCCTATATTCTTAGGAAAACTTTTTATCGTTAAAGGAGAAAACGGGTGAAGGTGGGTCTGAGTGTCTTGGCAACATCACCTTTTTAAGGTCACAGATTAAAGGCTTCCAAATATTATTATTATGACCTTGAAGTCAGTCACTGATCTCATTCTAACATGCAAACCTCACTGATGTATTTTTTCATAACTGCAGGATGATTTTGTATAAAGTTTCCCATTTATCCTGAAAGGATTTATATTCATGATCTGACAGTAACAGACTATGTAAATAAATATAATAATTTAAAAATAAATGATATGGTATCCAAATGGGGAAAAACAACACAAAAATATGGAAAAAAAACCTTGCACTGAAAAGACCCCCAAGCCTGCCTACCAGGTCTGGCGGATACAGAGTCACTGGCTGCTTTGACGGTCTTCAGGGAGAGAGGCTGTGTGCAGGAGATGGACATGCTTGGCCTGCATTGCTGCTGCTGCTGCTGCTGCTGCTGCTGCTGCTTCTTCTGCTGTTGCTGTTTTAGAGCCTATAAGAAGAAAACTGGCTATAAGCAACAAATCAGTTTTTAGTAATAAAAAGTAAATGACTGCTTTTTAGTGGTGAGGAGCATGCTGATCATTCCATTTCTTTTTTTTTTTTTTTTTTTTTTAATGTTTTATTTATTTCTAGGAGAGAGACAGCGGGAGTAGGGGAGGGTCAGAGAGAGAGGGAGTCACAGACTGAAACAGGCTCCAGGCTCTGAGCTGGCAGTCAGCACAGAGCCCGACGCGGGGCTCGAACCCACGAACCGCGAGATCATGACCTAAGCGAAAGTCGGACGCTTAACCGACTAAGCCACCCAGGCACCCCAGATCATTCCATTTCTTTGAAAGCTATCAAAGAAAACAAAAACCTAAATTAAACCAATTAAACACAAGGCCTGAATGATACTTTAAGAGTCTGAATATTTTTTTGGCAGTATTACTACTTTAAATAAATGTGAGAATTACTCATGAACATTTTTAGAACTTAAAAATCAGTAAGCCATGGACTTTCCATATTTGCAGCAGAAAATTAGAGATTTTCAATCATTTCTGGAAACAAAATTCTAAGCCCTCCACCAAAAAGATTCCCATTTGCATCACTTAACGTAATATCTTTAGTTTATATATATTTCAGAGGTGATACATTTAAACAAGAGGTTGTAAATAACTACTTATTCTGTAAGAAGCGGTATTTTGGTCCAATGACCAAATCCTCTGAAATTTATAACAATGCAGTAAGTAGAAGGGAATAAAGGTTAGAAAACACTGGGTTTTTTTTATGATTATTTTATTTCTGAGAGAGAGAAAGACAGAGTGTGAGCAGGGGAGGAGCAGAGAGAGGGAGACACAGAATCCAGAGCAGGCTCCAGGCTCTGAGCTGTCAGCACAGAGCATGATTCAGGGCTTAAACCCACGAACTGTGAGATCATGACCTGAGCCAAAGTCAGAGGCTTAATCGACTGAGCCTCTCATGACCCCTAGAAAAAAACTGGTTTTAAGAATGGTATGGTTCCTCCTTGCTAATTCAGAATTTTTTTATTTCTTTAATGTTTCTAGCTTGTTTCAACTAGTTAGAATGAAAAAAAAGATGGTTAGCTTCTCAGATTTTAGTCATGAAAATATGAGGGCAACTTTTTAACTCAAGGTTTAAAAAAAAAGGACACAGAAATTAAGAAAGTAAAGCTACATTTCAAGAAAAGGTTGGAAATCTATGACCTTACTAAATTGCCAGTTTAAGCTTCAACCTTCAAGAGCATCATGTAGGAAAGTGTGGAACAACTGGCCACTTGGTTCCCATTCTCTCGGCACAATATAACAATATAGTCTTCTCCTGTTCCACGTTATGCTCAGCCCTGGCTATGTTATAGAGGCACAGTCCAACAACTGATCTTCACTAAGCTGTCAAAGGAAAACAGTAACTGAGTGAGTCAGGTATCTGGCTTACATTCACCTATGACATTTACAGCAGGCAAGGTAAGAGCACAATGTATTAAAAACATCAGTGCTGAGGCACCTGGGTGGCTCAGTTGGTTAAGCGTCTGACTCTTAGTTTCGGCTCAGGTCATGATCTCATGGTTTCATGTGTTCAAGCCCCATATCAAGCCCCATCAGGCTAGCAGCCCAGAGCCTGCTTTGGATCCTCTCTCCCTCTCTCTCTCTGCCCCTCCCTGACTCATGTTATTTCTCTCTCAAAATAAATAAATAAACTTAAAAAAAAAAAAAAGTCAGTGTTGTCTGATTACTGATTATAGCTTCTTTCTCATTCTCTGCAACCAGAAAAGAAAATGTTTATAGGATTCCTGGGTGCAGCCATTAAGAGTCTGTTCTGGTCATTCACAAGACCTAGATCATTCTAGGTTAGTGCAAAATTTAACAACCATTTCATCTCATCTATTCCTGTTGTCATCATATATATTCAGACACATAATGGAAACAGAGTAACTTATAGCCTCTCTATTTAAGATCTGTACTCAGTTTTTTCCTCCCTCAGAAGTTTACAAACTGTGTTCCTAATTCTATTTTAAAATTAAAAACAGGGCCACCTGGGTCCAATCTGACTTTGGCTCAGGTAATGCATGATCTTATGGTTAAAGCCCTAAGTCAGGCTGTGTGCTAACAGCTCAGAGCCCGGAGCCTGCTTCAGATTCTGTCTCCCCCTCTCTCTGCCTTCCTTGTCATAAAGAATAACTTATACTGAAGTAATTTTCCCTCACCTATTACTATAAAAAACATACATTGGAGGCAAGGCCTTACTTTATATACCAATATCATTTACATAATTTTCCAGACTGGGATTCTTTAAATACATTTGGCCCCTGGTATAATACAAGAGTAGTCAACATGTCATGGATTATCTAACAAGGTTTAGGAAAATACTTGCCTTTTTCTGTGGAAAGAAACATCTTATCCTTCTTAAAATCTTCCAAAGTTATTTATAAAAATACAAGTGCTACAAGATTATCCAGGCAGACACCAATTAATGTTATCAAATTTCTGAAACTGTTTTAATAAAAGCACTTTTGCTTTAAATACTTTAAGAACTACATAATTTTTTAAATGTTTTATTTATTTCTGAGAGAGAGCGCGACAGCATGAGAAGGGAGGGTCAGAGAGAGAGGAAGACACAGATCTGAAGCAGGCTCCAGACTCTGAGCTGTCAGCACAAAGTCCGATGCGGGGCTCGAACCCACAAACCGTGAGATCATGACCTGAGCTGAAGTCGGATGCTTAACCAACTGAGGCCACCCAGGGACCCCAAGACCTACATAATTTTTAAAATTTCAGTTATATAAGATAATACATGATTACGATCTTTACCACTTAATTCACACATAAAGATAAACTCTCTTGATCTTCACTCAGTCTTGTCCCTAATCTTCAGAGAGAACTATAGACATCAACTTATTTTTCCGTACTAAGCTTTTTTTTTTACACTGACATTATGACTATTAAAAACATAATATTGTTTCATAGATATGTGTTAAAATAATCAGTGGTATCATGCTCTATATGTTGTAATACAACTTAATTTTAGTGATTCAACATCACAGTGTAGTGACGCTTCCATGTCTGTATATATATACAATCACACTACCAACATTTAATATTGCATAACTGTCCAGCATAGAGATACACCTTCATACACCATCACATCCAATTACATAAGGAATTCCCTAACTGATATATATAGGCTACTTGCAAGTTTTTGCTATTATAAGCTTTAACACAAATATTTTGTGCATGAGTAATTGGTATGCATATTTGTATTTTTCTAACCTAAGTTCCAAAACATTCACATGCTTAGTCATGGGATATGTACTCTTAAAATTTTAACAGAGAGGGGTGCTTGTTGGCTCAGTTGGTTAAGCATCCAACTCTACTGCAGCTCAGGTCATGCGGTGCCTGCTTGGGATTCTCTCTCTCTCTCTCTCTCTCTCTCTCTCTCTCTCTCTCTGTCCCTCCCTTGCTCATGCTCTTTCTCTTCGTCAAAATAAATAAATATACTTTAAAAATAAAATTTTAATACACATCACAAAATTTCTTTCTACAATAATTTATATTCCACCAGCAAACTACCATTAGCCATTTTTCTACATGCTTGCCAATGCCTGATATTACAATTAAGTTCTTTAGTGTATACCACTCTGAGGACAAAAGTAGTTGGCTACGGTTCCATTAATTACTAGTGAGTCTGTATTTATAGACCATTTGCATTTAAAAAAAATTGGGGTTGCCTGGTGGCTCAGTCAGTTAAGTGATCGACTTCAGCTCAGGTCATGATCTTGTGGTCCATGAATTTGAGCCCCACATCAGGCTCTGTGCTGACAGCTCAGAGCCTGGAGCCTGCTTCACATTCTGTATCTCACTCTCTCTTTGCACCTTCCCCGCTCGCACTCTGGCTCTTTCTCTCTCAAAAAACATTAAAAAAATTTTTTTTAATTGAGAGCTAGGTCTTTGAAAAGTCTAATAAAATAGATGAATGGCTAAGTAGCCCCCCACCCCCCAGGGAAAAAAGATACATTATAAATGAACAACACTAAGAAACAAAAAGGAGACATAAAAGAATGCTACAAACAATTCTAAACAATTTTAAGATTTTTATCTATACCCAACGTGGGACTAAAATTTACAATCCTGAGGTCAAGAGTTGCATGCTCTACTGACTGAGCCAGCCAAATGTCCCATATACCAATACATATTTTTAAAAAATCAAGCAACGGGAGCTTGGCTAGCTCAGTGGACTGGTTGAACATCTGACTTTTGATTTTGGCTCAGGTCATGATCTCACAGGGATTCTCTCTCTTCCCCTTTCTCCACTCTTCTCCTGCTCAAGCACAAACACTCACACGCGCTCTCTCTTTCTCTCTCTCTCTCAAAATATATAAACTTAAAAAAATAAAATCAAGTGAAATGGACCATTTCCTAAGAAAAATATTTAAAAAACCCTCTTATTCAAAAATTAGTTCAAAAAGCAGGAATCAAACGACACCACAAACAATAGATGAAACTGAAATGCTAAGAAAACAGTTTTAAAAGGTGAGATTTACAAAATTTTCAAGGAAAAGATCATTTCTATAGTTGTTTTCCAAAAATCTATAAAAATACAGAGAGCTACCCAACTTATTTTATTATATTAGAACAATCCTGATTCCAAAACTGTACAACAGCAAAATTCTTAAAAAAGAAAATTCTGTAACATATCAAAAATATGTTAACAATACGTAGAGTTTATTCCAGAAAGCTAGGTATATGTTAACATTAGAAAATCTAGCCATGGAATTCTGTGTATTAGATTTAAAGAGAAAAGCTACCTGATCATCTCAATAAATGCTCAAGAAAACAAACCTAAGAAATTCAACATCTACTCATAACTTAAACAAATGGGTGCCTAGGTGGCTCAGTTGAGCGTCTGAGGTCATGATCTCACCTGCGTGGGACTCTGTGCTGACAGCTACAGCTCAGAACCTAGAGCCTGCTTTGGATCCTGTGTCTCCCTCTCTCTCTGCTCTTCCCCACTCAGACCATGTCTCTCTCTCAAAAATAAACATACAAACAAACAAACAAACATGCACACAAACAAAAACTTCTCAGCAAGTTAGGAACATATGAAGAGCTTTCTTTTTAAAAATGTTTGTTTGTTTATTTATTTATTTATTTATTTGAGAGAGAGAGAGCTGGGGAGGGGTAGGAAGAGAGAAGGAAAGGGAGAGAATCCCAAGGAGGCTCTGCATAGTCAGCACAGAGCCCAAAGAGGCACTCAATCTCACAAACTGTGAGATCGTGACCTGAGCCAAAATCAAGAGTCAGAAGCTCAACCAACTGAGCCCCCCAGAGTCCTACAAATGAAGAGCTTTTAAAATGTAATAAGAGGATTATCTACCATAAACCTATTAACACAGAGATATATACATTATTAAATCCAAATTGGGAAACTGTCCTTTCAAGAAATTTTCAATGACTTCCAGAATCATGCATTTTTAATCAAGAAAATAATACTTCTGTTAAACACAGACTAGCATAATTACCTGTTTTAGTGCCTTCTTGCTGTGCTTCTGTGACGGAGAAATGACTTTACCTGCTGGAATGGTAGGTGATGGGCAGCCTGACTGAGGAGAAGATGGCTGTGACAGTCTAGACGATACTAGTTGGGGGAAGGTGACAATAAAAAAGGTGGTTATCAGAGTTGACATCAAGCACCATTCCTTCCCCAATCATATCCTGCTATCTGTATTAAGAACTGTGACCAAACACTTTTCGGAAGGATCTTCTTTTTTGGAGTTCTACTGCAAACAGCCTCCCTTTTGAGTTTATTTCCTCAGAAAGCTCTAGTGAAGAATGATAGGATGGGGAAGGGATGGGTGTTAGTATTCATTACTTTTCATTTCTTGATTTTTCAGTGGATTGATTGAAGCCAGAAGAATATAAACCATGAATCATCAAATTAGATAAAATTTAGAAAGGATTCTAGAGCATGATGTCTAGTATGTATGTCTTAAGGTAAATCTAATGATGACATGAAGGGCCCTGGGCTGACGGAATGGAAAATGAAGGCACTAAGGTCATTTCACCTCAAAAACTCTAGAACACCTAACAACAGAACTCCCCTATGACCCAGCAATAGCACTGCTAGGAATTTACCCAAGGGATACAGGAGTGCTGATGCATAGGGGCACATGGACCCCAATGTTCATAGCAGCACTCTCAACAATAGCCAAAACATGGAAAGAGCCTAAGTGTCCATCAACGGACGAATGGATCAAGAAGATGTGGTTTATCTACACCATGGAATACTACATGGCAATGAGAAACAATGAAATCTGGCCTGTGTAGCAACATGGATGGACCTTGAGGGTGTTATGCTGAGTGAAATAAGTCAGGCAGAGAAGGACAAATATCGTATGTTTGCACATATAGGAGGATTAGGAGGAACTTAACTGAGGAACAAGGGGGAGAAGAAGGGGGGAAATGGTGGGAGAAAGGGAGGCAAACCATGAGAGACTCTTGAATGCTGACAAAAACTGAGGACTGATGGATGTGGGGGGGAGGGGGGATGGGCATGGAGGAGGGCACTTGTGGGGATGAGCACTGGGTGTTATGTGGAAACCAATTTGACAATAAACTATTTGTAAAAAAAATTTTTTTAATTAAAAAAAAACTCTAGAACACCTTTAATTCTTATATTCCTTCATCCTTTAAATCAATAGTTTCAGACCTACTAGTCAGTGTGAGAGGGTGCTTTAGGATTTCTCTAACAGTAGCAATGTATGTTTGCACAGGGTATAACCCGTCTCTACTTCATCACTACTTGTTTTATACCCATCAGAGCTTAGCCAAACCTTAGTCTTATGTGAATGAGGGTTTTCCCTTCAAGAGCTTGTATCTCTTATAATAAATAACAATTCGATTTTTATGTTCTGTAAAGTTCAGCAGTGCATGCAGCTCATGATAAGAGATAAAGAAATTGCTGACTGAAACCCTTTAAGAATAAAAATAATAAAATAATAATTGCTACTGCTAGTGAGGACTCTGGAAAAGCACATGCTTACTAACACCTTCTCCTTTCCATGGCAGCTGGACTATAAAGGCCTGGATAGCAAAATGGCATCCCATGGTATGGCCAAAGAGCTTTAAGATACCATATCAAGTATGGTGGTAGGTAGCTACGTGACACAAAAATGCAGAAGCATGGTTCATTGGAATGCACAAGTTTTGGAAAACAGCATTTTCACAGATTCTTAGATTTCCTAACAAAGGAATACACAGTAGATAACATTTAAAGAGGACAACAGCAGATAATATTAAGAAGGTGACTTGTCATACTTGGAACTGGCTTTGCATTCCAACCCTTATGACAAGGTTTATATATGGGAAAGAATTGACATAAAATAAGTGTGATGTTTAGAGAAGTTCATTGTAATATATCAACAGAAATAAAATTGGGTAATTCTTGAGATAATTGAGCAGCAAAAAGAAACCACATCCTCAGTCTACTTATGTTGACCAATTTAAAAAAAATAAGAGCTATCCTGAGATAAAGCCCCATACTGGTTTGCAGTCACTCCCATTTCCCCTAACCACACCTCTAATCTTAGGCAGTCACTAATCTACTTTCTGTTCCTATGCATTTGTCTATAGTAGACATCTCATATATATGGAATCAAACAATATGTGCTCTTCTGGGACTTTTTTTTTTTTTTTAACTTAGCATGGTTTGAAGTTTCATCCATCTTAAAGCATGGATCAATCACTTCCCTTTTATCACCAAATAATAAGCCATTGTATGCATATGCTGCATTTTGCTTATTCATTAGCTGATGAACACCTGGGTCATTTACAGTTTTGACCATCCTGAACAATGATGTGAAGAACACTCATCAGCACAATTTTATGTTGGACAGATGTTTTCAATTCTCCTGGGTTCATATCTTAAGGTGGAGTTAGTTGCTGGGTCTTACAGCAACTCTATGGTTAACTTTCTGAGGAACTGTCAAAATGTTTTCCAAAACAGCTGTATCATTTTCATAATTCCACAGGAATGTAGTAGGGTTGTAATCTTTGTCATCACTTGTTATTGTCTATCTTTTTCATTTGAACCAATGTTTTTAAAGGGACATAAGGAAAATAAAGTTAAACACTAATAATATTTGACTATGCTATAATTTCTCTTCAATGATTTACAGAAATCTAAAAGTATACATTTCCTTACCTACCTCAAATACTGCCTGAAAAATAAACAGAAAACAAACAAAATAATTCCATTAGAGACTATAAAAATTCCACTTTGCAGCCTGAAAAAGAGACAATAAAAGCTATATGTATTACCAAGGCAAACTGTTTGAACTGTTCCCCTCTAAGGCAAAAGCCCTTTCTAACAAAGGAAACCATAAACATATCTCAAAGCCAGCAAAAATAAATCATGAAAACTTTAGGACCTACCAAGTAAGGAGTATCTCCCAGAATTGATTTAATGCCAAGCACTGGTCTTATAATGTCTATGAAACTTTGTCTTCACTTTCAAAAATTAAAGGCTCAGAACTACAAACAACAAACAAGATTTAAACACATGCTGAGAAACTTCCCTCTCGGATTTCCTTTTAGTGGCTACACTGTCTTCACAATTTATTAATAAGAGCAACCAAAAGTAAGTATCTTGTATGTATCTAATAGCCTGTTAGGTTCATGTGAGCAGGATTTCACTAAATTACTCTCTAAGGTGGGTACAAGTCCTCTTTCTTTTCCCACCAAAACTCCTCCAATTCTACCCTCACAGATAACTAAGTATGTTTGGGTTGGCATCCTTGCTGACCTCTTTCTACAAAAATAAAAAATACGAAAAGATTTTTAAGGACATATATTTATATATAAATTTCAAATATAATATTCTTCTGTATATTGTGATATCTAAATTTTATATATCAGGAAATTTAGTTTGCCAAAGGACTCAGACCATAAGGGGCATAGCTAAGATCCAAACTCAGTATATTTTCACTTTTTCAATTTTTACTTTGAGAAAAGTAGAAAGTATGGATGTGCACAAGCCAGGGAGGGGCAGAAAGAAAGGGAGAGAAAGAATCCCAAGTAGCCTATGAGCTGTCAGTGCAGAGCCCAATGTGGAGCTTGAACCCACAAACTGTGAGACCATGACCTTGCATGACTTGAGCCGAAACCAAGAATCAGATGCTTAACCAACTAAGCCACCCAGGTGCCCTTCAAGCTCAGTATTATTTTTAGAATGAGTGGGTATTTATTATGAGCTGAATGGTGGCCATCAAAAAGCTATGTCCTAATCCCTGGAATCTGTGAATGTTACATTAATTGGAAAAAGAGTCTTGGCAAATGGAATTAAGTTCAGGATCTTGAGAGGAGATCATCCTGGATTATCTCAGTGCCCTAAATCCAATGACACAGAGGACACAGAAAAGGCGGCGATGAGAACACAGGCAGAGATTGGAGTGATATGGCCACACGGGAAGTCAGTAAGCAACCACTAGAAGGTAAAAAATACCCAAGAGCCTCTGTAAGGAGTGTGGCCCTCTGACACCTGAGGTCAGACTTCCATTCTCCAGAACTGTGAGAAAATAAATTTCTGTTGTTTCAAAGCACCTAGTTTGTGGTAATTCGTTATAGCAAGCTCAGAAAACTAACAGGATGTAAACTGATTTTAAAGTGTCATTATCAGGGCGCCTGGGTGGCTTAGTCGGTTAAGCGTCCGACATTTGCTTAGGTCATGATCTCGCGGTTCGTGTGTTCGAGCCCCGTGTCGGGCTCTGTGCTGACTGCCAGCTCAGAGCCTGGAGCCTGTTTCAGTCTGTGACTCCCTCTCTCTCTGACCCTCCCCTGCTAACGCTGTCTCTCTCTCTCTCCTAGAAATAAATAAAACATTAAAAAAAAAAAGTTTAAAGTGTCATTATCAATCCACAGATGTTATATATTTGAAATGTTTAAACCAAAAACAATCATTGCAAATTTGTCACTCAGGCTGTCTTCTTTCGCATTAGCGTGAGAGCCTTTAAGCTGTAAACCATCATTGGTACATGACTTCAGCAGTAACCAACTGCTTCTCCTTGCTATCTAACATAGAAAGTGTCCCAGGCAATCTTGCATATTTTTGTTTTCCCCAACATGGATCAGCCACTTCTCTAAGGACCACTGATATCTTTTAAACAGGAAATGGTATTAAAAGGCCATGTGCTGCACAGGAGGGAGTGCTCACTTGCTACAGGGTTACCACAGGTTCTAGGACTTTAATGGTTAGAACAAGAAAGGTCTTGGGGTGCCTGGGTGGTTCAGTCGGTTGAGCGTCAGACTTCGGCTCAGGTCATGATCTCACAGTTCGTGAGTTAGAGCCCCCCATCAGGCTGTGTGCTGACAGCTCAGAGTCTGGAACCTTGCTTCTGATTCTGTGTCTCCCTCTCTCTGCCTGTCCCTTGCTCATGCTCTGCCTCTGTCTCTCACAAAAAAACAAAATAAACATTAAAAAAAATTTTAAAAGAAAGAAGAAAGGTCTTTTTTAATTTTTATTTATTAACTCTTAATGTTTATTTATTTTTGAGAAAGGAAGACAGTGCAAGTGGGGGAGGGGCAGAGAGAGAGGGAGACAGAATCTGAAGCAGGCTCCAGGCTCTGAGCTATCGGCATAGA